ATGAAATGAGCAATTATCAGATCTGCATTCACTCTGTCAGATACTATTCACCTCTGCATTATCATTGTTACTGAGAAGAATAATAACAGCATCATACAGATGCTGCTGAATAAGGAATTTTTTCTTTTGAATATTATTAATGATATACTTTTTCTTTCTGTATTCATGAATATTAGTATATCATAACATCTGTCAGATGAGCTATCTTCAGATGCTTGCTATCTAGATCTATATACAGATATTATAAGAGAGCTCAATCTTATCTGATCAGTGTGGAAAATTCATCAAGTTCTCTTTTCTACAACACACATGAATATTTTCTATAAAAATGCACTGTGATATATTGCAGCTAATATATTTATATCATTTGACTTTATACATTTATCAAAAAGACTAAACTCTGTCAGTGATTTACTGATGTCTCATCTATTGACTATTCTGAGTCAGAGAGTCAATAAGCAGATGCTTTATGAAAATCTGATGTCATACACTGCATCAGTGATTCTGATAAATATATATTCTTCTCTAATACATGACATATTTTCTGAGCTTTGTTGTACTTGATTTTAGCTTACTCAAACTTAGAATTCTTATCTCAGACTGTGTTTTAAACTTTATATTCAAAAATCTGCTATAGTATATATAAGTGAGTGTTAGACAACTATATCTTTACAGAGTTGATATGTCAGAGTATTGATAATCAGCTTCAAAGACTATTTGAATTCATGAGTATGAAAAAAGTCTCTTCTTCACATATTCACAGATACAATCTAAATTAGTGGAGAAATCATCTAGTTTTATTGAGACTCAACTCTGTTTATCTTGTCTGTATGATTCACTGTGCAGAATATCATCTTTTATATGATCATACTCTTTGTGATAACTGTATAAAAAGATTTGATGAAGACTGTGCTGATGCAGAGAGTGAGTATATTGTAATTAAATACTTTTTGTATAATGTATCTACAGCATTGAAGATGAGAATCAAGTCATTGACTTTTGCTGTCTATCTTCTCAGTATTGATGATGAAAATCTGCTAGAAATTATTCTCACTGAGTTGCTAGTTTTCATACAAAAAAGACTTTCATGCAATCTACAGTTGCAAAATCTCATCAACTATTTCATTGAAATAAGCTCAGATTTATATACTTTCAATTCTTCTTGAAGAGCAGATCTCTTCTGTGAATTCAGAGCTAACATCTCACAGATGGAGATATTTCACTTGATATAGATATATATCAGAATGATACTGAAAAGTACAGTGAGTACTTTCAATAATTGATGAAAAGATTTTTTGAGAATCAGCAGAGAGATTGTGTGTTCAAACTACAGTATCTGATCAAAATCTGAACAGCAGATAATATATATAACAGCAGAGTCTTAAAGCATATCTTTATGCAATACTATAAGACAATATTATGTATGTTTGACATCTCTTGAATCATGGTTGCAGGCTGGAGGATTGCTGTGATATCTATCTCTATTGTAGATAGAACTTTCTTTCTTTTTATCAACTATAATAGTGAGACACTCTTATAAGATGACTGTGGTATGTGTTGTCATTTATATTTTCATCTTTCTATCCACTGACTTCACAGTGTATGATTGTCTTCAAATCAGAGTTGATAATGAGCTGTTTATCTGACAAGCATGAGTTCTGAAGTTCTTATCTTACTCATCTCACTCTGCTAATATTTTACAGTGTAAAAGCTATCTCAGCTGCTTCTGTGTAGATTTCAAATCTCAAATTTTTATTCCTTTTTCTGACTCTGAACAGACTGTTTTCATTCATTGATATTCTCTTTATTGATAGTTTTCAGAATAGCAGTATGAAACAGTGGCACAATAATTTAATTTGCTTAGAGTTGTTGAAAGTGTAGCATCTGTGGTCATGAATATCAAAACTGTATATTGTAATCTCTCTGAGTACAGAAACTGTCTCAAGAGTTCTGAAAACCTTGAATTCACACAACATTCTTCTAGATGAATGACTTTCTTGCATTTATCACTTCTATATATCTTTATTTGATGATGAGGAGATCTGGAATGAACTTCAGAGTGAGCTTGATAATCAAACTCACAAGAACTACTTCTGCTTCAACCACTTCTTCACCACAGACACACAGCTGTCAATTGTTGATATCAGTGTAATGAAGAATATCTCTCAATCTATTCAAAAGAATCTGCTAGAAGCAGACAAGATGAAAGAGGCTCTTTTAACTCTTCTTATTTCAAATCTCTTCTTTAAATTGAGCTCAATTCTGGAGTTTCAAAATGGCTTCTTTCTCTGCTTTGAGACTATTAGATGCTATAAATCAGCTCAGTTAATTATCAGAGCATTATTGATGCTTCAATCAGCTTGCTACAAATTTTATAAGAATAATATCAATCTGAGTCTCTATATAAATGAGAATAATATATGTATGAAATGTCAATGTTACTGCAGATCTGTTCAATTCACTGTTCAGCATCTTCAGAAGAAAATTACCATAACACTATAATTTAATAGCACTGCATTGTTACTAAATGGATTTTTCAATGCTATTCAATAGTATATAGATGAATAAGATCTAGATGAGGTCTTTGATGCTTCTAATTATAAAGCATCTTTCTGAGTTCAATATAATATATATAAGAGAAGATTGAATGAAAAGAAGAAGAAATATAAATATATATACACAAGATAGATGTTACTTCAAATTGTGTAACGGGCGTGCCACCGATTAAGCAGATGTTACCGATGTTGCAGATTAAACCGTTCGTACCGCCTGCGCAGTTCGTACGATCCGTTCCAACGGCAATATCAACGGACTTGACACTATCCTGATAACAGTTTACGAATCGATTAAGGAAAGAAAGAGAAAGAAGATCAGAAGAAGGGGTCGTACGAGGGGGTTCTTATAGGCAAGGGGATCGGAGCGGAAGAAATATCGGAGGTCGCGCTCTGGGGGAGCGCGGGGCGGAAGAATCGTTAGGGTGTTAAGATGTGCGCGATTGTGGGGCGGAATCGCGAGGAGGCGTGGGAGAACTTCATGAGCGCGCGTGAGCACGTGAGCGCGCGGTAGGGGGTTGGTTGCGTAAGTTAACTACCAACGGGTGCTAACCCGTCACAAATTGATCACTTTTTCAATTCTATTGTCTCTTCTCTAAGACTTTATTTAGTTTCTTGATACATTTTGACACTGTAGCTGACTGAGCTTCTATAATGACTTTTTAATCTCTGCCACTGAAGGTGTGTCACAAGAGATTCATTCACAGAATATTGAGATATGATGTAGAAGTATATAGAAGTGATATAAACTGATTCATCAATATTTGTTTGTACTGACTAATATATAGTTAATAGTTGTCTGCTGTCTTTATCTTCTTATGATTCACATCTTGTCTTTTGCACTTATAGTGAGCTTTTAAGATTTCTGATAATTGCTGATGCACTGTGAATTATTGATTCAGAGCTGAAGCAGAGCAATCTTATCTAAGTTTTTATTCAATGAAAACAGAAGTGAAGTTACAAAGATACCTCACTATATATTCTTATCAAGATTGATTCTTTTGTACTCAAACTTAAAGCACAGTACTGGGCTTCATAACAGAGTATGTATATTAACTAGAATTGATTAAGTTTTATTGTTTTTTATTTAGCATATGAACAACTTACACCACAATGATCTTCTCATTCAATATATACATTATATTATTGACTAGTATAATAACAGCAGTAAAGAAGAATCTTTCAAGAGTAACTGTATGATTTCTCCTCTCAAACATAAAACTTTGAGAAAGCTCAATTTACTCACTCCTCACAAATTATAAATGAAGTTTAGTCAGAAGAAGTATGAGCACAGTCAATCTAAAGACTGTTTATAACTCATTGTTTTCAGATAATGTAAAAGCTTCAGATGATGATCATGAAGGCAAAGATACTGATCTCTCAGATACTTCTATCAGATGCTATAGAGTTGTTGAAAACACTCTGATTGAAAACATTCTGATTGAAAACACCTCAATTGAAAACATCTCAGTTGAAAACACTTCAGTTGAAACCTCTGTTGAAAACACACTGATTGAAAACACTCTGATTGAATTTAGATATCAGTCAGCTGATGATGTGAAGCTATACAATATTACTGATTGTTGTGTTTCTTTAGCTGCATCTGAAATACCAACTGTGTTTTCTCTTCTTATATTTGCTAGAAATTTGTTCATATGTTTCTCAGAGTTGACTGTAAATACCACTTCTGCATGACAGTGAGAGAAAGATATATTCTGATGACAGAAGAACCACTGAAGTTTGAGAGTATTGATAGTCACTGATAGTATAAAATCTCCACAGTCAGTTGAGTTGAACTGCTTGAAGCTGAAGTTCAGTTGCTGCAATAATATATATAAATAAATCAAGTTTGATTGAGTTAAGATATAATTCAAAGTATGAAACTCAAAAACAATCTTCTTCTCAACATCAGTATTGATATACTCTGATTCAAAGAGATATCCCTCTTCAGTCTCAATAGTACTAACAGTTATTTGATGAGTAACTGACTCAGTTATCTGAACAGAAATTGTTTGAGCAATTCTGTGATCTGTTAGAATTTTTCTTGAATACATCACAGTTCACAGAAGAGCATACTCCATCTTCAACACAATAATATAAAAATATAAGAGAAAGCAGAACAGAGTGATTGTCAGTATTTTTGTGAAATATTTGAAAAAAAAAAAGGTTTTGATTTTCTGTGAAATAAATTGTGCTCATCTTGATTCTCTAGATAGTCATTTAAAGAAGAGAATAGACTACAGTTATCATCTCAATAAATATAGCTCAGAAGATGATCAGCAGAAATGCAAGTATAACTGTAACTGTGAAAAAGAAAGATGTAATCTCTGAAAGAATATAAAATCTAGACTATATCTCTCAAACTATCATCATTATAAACTATCATCTTTATTAAACACCCACATATTTATCTTACACTTTTCAAACAAAATTTGATTTTTTCAAACAATGGCTGATATCATTTTCATCATCTCTGCACTATCTAATTCTGATGCTGATGCTGCTAATTCCACCACTCTCACTTCTTCTTCTTTCATTTCTTTCAATTCTGACACTGATGCTGTTAATTCTGCCACTCTCATCTCTTCTTCTTCTGTTTCTTCTACTTTCATCTTCTTCATGGCATATCTTTTTCCACCTCATGAAGGATTCAACAATGACTCTATATCTATATATCATCAAAATGAGAATGATGATGCTGATACTGATGATGATGATGATGATGCTGCTGTTGATGATGTTGTTGATGAAGATGAGGCTATAAATGTAATATATACTTTAATACTTAGCATCAAGAATCATCTTCAGCTTGTCAAAGCAATTGTTGATAGAGCTTCTGAAAATATACACACAGTGCTTACAATCACAGCTTCTCAGATAACAGTAGAAATATATAAAAAGACAATTGTATATACTGCAGCAGCAGTAAATCTCAACAAGTTCCACTCTGAGAAGAATAAATAATTAGAAAAGAATACTCTTGAGAGTAAGTATCAGAAGCTGTGAAACAGAATAAGTTTTTTGCACTAACTCTGTTAGAATTAACTTATACTATTATTTGAATAAAACAGTTATTTTCAGATCTTCAGTGGAATAAAATCAATGTTCTGATAATAGAGAAATCTTTGAATAGATATCATCAGTATTGCCACATTGCAGCAATGCAGTATATAATAATGCTATATAAAGCATATCAGATCAGTCATTGAAGCAGCATTATTAATGCAATTAGAATAAATAATACTGATATTTCACAAAAGATTGATAATGCACTTAGCACTCTCTGTACAATTAATGAAAAAATTGTGAGATATAATATAATCAAAAAAAATCATCAGTTCATGAGTAAAATTCAGATTCAGCTGTTTTTGAACTCATGAAGTTTCTTCAAGTCTGTAAAACTTTGAGTACTATACAAGTCTCTATACCTTTCTGAAGAATGAGCTCAGTTATCATCAGTGAAAAGATATACATACTCAGAAGATCTCAGAATGTACTGAATGCCACTTTGATATAAGCTAATCTTATTTATAATGAAGTTATGAGATGAAATTGTTAAAGGAGTATTAATTGAGCAATTTACATCAATACATCAGAAAGTTACTACAAAGATCACTGAGTTGAACTTCAAAATCTCAGAACTGAATTCACAGAATGATCAATCATCACAGCTATATTATATAGATGAATCAACTATTAACAAAACATATTTTCATCTACATATCATTATTCAAAATACAGTGGTGTTTTGAGAAATAAGAGTCAGAGTTGACAGCATGTTTGCTGAATTGGGATATTCAGAAACCTGAACTCCACATACAACTACAGAGTGTTTTATTTATATAGAAATGATTATAGATGGTATAACAAGTTACACTCAATATTCAATATGTCAAGTGAAGATTCATACAGAGTGTCAATCACAATGAGCTCAGTATTATTGAAATATATTAGAAAATAGTGATTTCTCATGCTTATATTGATAAGTAATGTCTTCATCTCACTGTTCTAGCAGCAGCTAATAGTCTGTAGTTGAGCAATGAGATTGACTACAATCATTTTGTCTCTAATTCAAACTCAAGCAACAACTGTCTCAACAACTCAGACAGCAACTCAGATTTCATCTCTCAGAAATATTGAGAAAAGATGAATTCAGATCCTTTTCTGAAAGATTTCATAATGTATACAATCTGAATACACAGTTCATGAACAGAGAATTTCTTATATAAATATATACAGCAACTTTATTTAAGTTGTTGTAGAAAATAAAGATGACAGCTGTGAGCTTCTCAATATTATATAAGCTGATGATTTGATGATTGTCAAAGCTGCTGAAAGTCTCTCAGAGATTGAAAAAGTTGAATCAAGTGAGTGGAAAGAGCTGAGATTCAAGATTCTGAAAATGAGTGAGTATGAAATTCTATGAGTAGTGATTTCACAACATTGAAACCTCACAAGTGAAAGATTGCTCTTGATAATATACAGCTTCTACCATCACATCAATGAAGTATATATAAAGAAAGTTGATTTCTGCTCAAATATAGCAAAAGTACTCAGCAAAACAGAAGATCTCATAATTGCAGAAGTCATTTGCAGAAATGAGAATGTTGAATTTATTGAAGAAACAGTGGAGTTTATATACAGTGTGATATATAAGCAGAGAGAGAAGTATTGAGATAGTTATTCAAGATCTTGCTGTTGCAAAGCCCACAGAGTTCAGAGAGATGATGAAGAAGTTTTTTGAAATGAATTTAATTTCTAAGAGATATTCAAGACAATTGAAACAGATTTCATGTTATGATAAGTGAAGTTGAAAGCTTATATTCTTCTTAATTGCTCAGACATCTTTCTTTGTTGTTTCTACTTCTTTCTCTTATTTCTCTTCTTGCCTCTGCAACTTGAGAAGTCAATATTCTGAGATTATATATTTCCTTCACAACATTTTGATAATTACATCACTCAAGATTTCAAAGTTGAATTGACTGAATTATTGACTCAATCCTCTAGAAATTCATGTATTTTCAGTTGCAAAGAAAATGGCACAATATGCAATCACTGAATGTCTCATTCAAATAATGATCTGCTTCTAGCTGATGCTGTCCTCTGCAGTTATCAATCACATGTATATCAATTCAATGGTTTTTCATAGCTTGCAGCTCTCTCTATATAAGAGGGTTTCTGACAGCTTGACTTGTAATGAATTTCAAGTCTGTGATAAATTGTCAGAGACTAGATTATAAGAAGATTGATAGTGTAGAAGATGATCAAATATTAATTATGACAATCTGTCATATCAAACTAGTCAATGATGCACTTTTGCAAGCCAGTTGTGTGGATGTGAAAACCAACTTTCATCTTGCAGATAAAGAAACAATAGCTTGACTCTTCTGATTTATCTTTGAATAGAAAGCAGCTGATCCATTAGTATATGAGTTTGCTGATAAAATATCAGAGCTGAAATTCAGCCTGGCTGAGATTCTGTCATTCTTGATAGAGAACAGACAATTTTCTAAACAGACTGTTGATAATGTAGCAGTATGAATAGCAGATATCAGAAGTAAAAGAAAGAAGAATGAAGTTTAAAAAAATATCTCTCTGTTATATACTTTGATTATCTGAAGAAGTTGTTTCAATAAAACAGTAACTTTCAATGCTAGTCTTCTTGAATTTATGACATCAGTAGATTCAATGAGATTCTCAGAAACTGGCAAGCAGTAGATACATTTTGCATATTAGAATAATACAAACCTTGAATATATATCTACCATCAAATACCATACCTCTATTTTGTGTTGTTATCACCAGCTTCTAAAATTGCCTGTAATTGATGATCTTAGACTTATTTCAGACACCAGTCACAGAGAGTGAAGTGTATATTATAAGAGAACAAAGATGAGATTTAGATTGTTTCATGTTGTATTTTCTGACACAGACTCATCCTCAAGATTGTTTGAGTAATTATGAAGACAGCACTCTTTGCAATGATAGAATTAAAAAGATAAATCAAAGACTTTGCATATATAATTTAGAGAGAAGATCATTTCCATGCTAATTAGTTTGAGATGGTTACAGAACAAAGTTGTATGCTATCTATTATATCAACAACACTGACAAGTATCTGTAGCTGATGGTCTCATTAATTGCTTTTGTATGATAGTACTTATATTATTGAAAAGAAACATCATCAAGAGATTACAATATATGACTTGTATGAAAAGAGAATTCAAATATGATAATGTTGTGAAAGTTACAATATTGAAGGAATTCTTCAGTTAGATGAGATTTATGATTGTCAAACAGTAATAATCAATAACTTCTCATCTGATATTTCTTACTCAACATGTTGAATCTTTTAATTCATTCAAATACAATCTTATTATTAGTGAAGTCAGATTCAGATGTTGTAATTGCATAATTGTCAGACAAGTTGATATCTATATATCAATCTTCTAGATGAATCTTCAATCTCATTACAATCAGTGAAGATAGAGTAGTACACTTCAACACAGTTATTAATTCATGAGAATATGAAGATTGTATAACAGAATTTGCATCTTGATAAGCAGTTAGCTGCTCACATCTCTTCTCTTTCTGAAATTCAATCTCATCAAAGTTGTAAACATTGTCTGTATGGAAATTATACTGATTGAATATAGATTCATAGTGATTGAATCAGTTGATGATGAAGTTTATATTCTCACTAGACACTTATTTTGAATTCATTGACTTCTGCTCCACTCTGCTATACTCTGACAGATGATTTGCAAATCAATATACTCACATTTTGTCCACAGTTGAAGAATTGATATCAGAATTGATGTGATAAAGAATCAACATATGATTCATAGTGGCTTCAATATACTCAATAGTGGGAGAACAAAAATTAATATTCAACTGTATTATTCATCTCTTAAGAGCTTTCTCTGTCATTCAATATTCAATTGATTGAAACTCTTATAGTTCTTGATTTACTTTCTTTAATCCACTCAATCAATGTTGTATATGAAACTTCAAATTCTTGCACCACCTTCACAATTTTTAATTTTTGATTTTATTTTAACATGTCAATGAGATTCAGTGTATTTAGATGATTTAGACATGATGATGGTAATTAATGAATATATGAATAATTTCCTTCAAAACAAACTGCTGATATCCCACTCAGTCTGCTATGTGGTTTGAAGTACCATTTCTATTCTTCAAGAAAAGTCATCACAGCCATCAGAATGAAAAAGGAAACAGAAAAGAAGATAAAAGAAAAGCAATCAAGAATTTTTCTAAGAGAATTCTTCAAAGGATAGAAATTTTATAGACTTGATAAACAACTTGAGAATTATTCTATCTTTTCTGTGATAAGAATTTCATGAAAGTAATTGCTGAGCAGACTATGCAAATCAATCAAATCACAGTTTGATGCTCTTCTGATATAAAGGGTATGAATTGTTTATCTGAAGAGAGATAAATCAGCATATCAAATATAACAGTCAGTATAGATTGAAAAGTGTACTGATTTGTCTGCTATAGAACCTGCTAAGATTTGTATCTACAGAGTACTTCAATCAAAAGTTATAGATCATCAAAGAATCTGCAATCACTACTCTATATTTATAATATATATAGATTATTTGATACAGATCAAACTGATCTATATCAATCAATCTATATCTGAGTAACTGTACTAGCTAACATAAACATCTTGATATGAATTAGTCAACACCAGCCCTTATAGAAAATCTCTCTCTATTTTGTATTGAAATAACAGTGATGATTATTATGAGCTGAGAAGTTCTTGAATATTCATGTACTGAGTTGAATTGTTTTATTTTTG